GAATGCTGGGCTGAAAATCCAGGTCGAAGGACAAGGCAGCCTTGTGTATGGCAGAGTTAGCAACAGGAAGACAGTGTCAGTGCCGCAGACTTGAGGGTAACTTCTGTTCCCGCGAGCCGTCGCCCCGATTCTTCTCTCTGGCCTCGAGGGGCCTCCTCCTGACACCCACCTTTGTCCTTGGCCCTCCAGGTTGCAGGCCCTACTCCATCCCCCCCTGCGAGCACCACGTGAACGGCTCCCGGCCCCCGTGCACCGGGGAGGGCGACACCCCCAAGTGCAGCAAGATCTGTGAGCCTGGCTACACCCCGTCGTACAAAGAAGACAAGCACTTTGGTAAGCGGGGCGGGCGACCCCAGTGCACCGGCCGGGGGAAGCCAAGGAGGGAGGACCAGGGTCCTAGGTCAGGGGAACACAGAATGGGGGCCTGTCTTACGGGAGGGAGCAGCACACTGCATTCTCTGCCCGTTTCCACCCTGAAGTCTGCGGGAATGGTGTCTTAGACCTCCAGCCTTGGAAGAAAGAGAGCAAACCCCTCATTTCATGGGGGAGTAGTCTGCCCTAGAATCCTTCTGGGTGCCGCCTGCCCTGCTTCCAGGGCCTCAGGCTCACTGCACACATGCGCCGGGGCAAGCCCCGTGCGACCCCCTGTGGGAGGCGCCCTGCCCCACTTGGCTGGTTCCTTTGCAGGATGCAGTTCCTACAGTGTCTCCGGTAGCGAGAAGGAGATCATGGCGGAGATCTACAAAAACGGCCCAGTCGAGGGGGCCTTCTCCGTGTATTCGGACTTCCTGCTGTACAAGTCTGGTGCGTCTCAACCCCTGGTGGCAGCTGGCAGGGGAGGGAGGTCTGGGTTCCCGGCTGGCAGGACCTCCTGGGTGGGAGGCGGGCCTCCAGGGGGACGTGGTGCCACACGCCCCTGGCTGCTCCTTGGCTGGTGGTAGAGCTCTCCGCAGCGGAAAGGCCAGCTCACGTATCTCCTTGGGGAGCCTTTCCACCCCCGCCTCCATTGCTTCCTCATCGCATTCACGTTGGTCTTGGCAGAGTCTAAGCATCATGCCCAGCACCCAGTGGATGAGCAAAGAGGGAGCACCTTGCTGTGGGGATTCAAACGGCCGGGGACAGGATGGTCCCCGCCTGAGAGCTGTCTTAGAAATCCCCCATTCCAGACGAACAGTCTGTGCTGAGGGCTCTGTCTCATTTTATATGCTGCTAGATCGAAAACTCCAAAGCTCTCCAGTCTTACAGAAACACAGTGTCCACCAATATTATATGAAAGGACGCATTTCCAATTTGACGAAGTGATTCACCAGTGAGGCGGTAGCCTGGGGGTCCTCAGAGCACCTTAGCCAGCATCTTTCTGGGTCGTCAGCACTGGCAGCTGCCAGCCCAGCCCCTCTCCCACAGCACCTCTGCAGGGTGTGCCCCAGAGCAGCAGTTGGAAACTAAGCCACGGAACCCTTTCGACACATCATTACGTGGAGTCACTGTATGTAACACAGTTAACTGTTGGTATTTTTATTAGAATTTACAACTTTGGTTTTAAAGGGAACCAACGAACACATTTGATTGGCCTCCATCTTAATATTTGCCTCCATCTTAATATTTACCTCCTATATTCGAGTGTGTTAGGCTTTCAAAAATAAGTAATTCCAAAATGTTGTGGGAACCCCTGGAGCCTTCTTGTGGAATGCCAGGGCCCGTCCTTTCCTCCGGCCCTGTCCGTCCTGCCCGGGGTGACCAGCCGAGCTGGAGGGGTGCTGTGGCAGATGGGGCGGCTGCCCGGTCTCGGTCTGATCATTGTCTCCTTTCCCAGGGGTGTACCAGCACGTCACGGGAGAGATGATGGGAGGCCACGCCATCCGCATCCTGGGCTGGGGAGTGGAGAACGGCACCCCCTACTGGCTGGTCGGCAACTCCTGGAACACCGACTGGGGTGACAATGGTGAGCACAGCCCC